TGGCTCATTGGGCTAATATATATATATATATATATGCATACGTCTGTGTGTGTGTATGTGTACATGTACATGTATATGTATAGGTAGATAGATAGAAATAGATAAGGAGATAGATACAGTGATAAAGAGATAGATAAGGAGAGCAATGATAGAAGATAGATATAGATAGAAACTGATAAAGGAATAGCTATAGATAGATAAGGAGAGATAGATATAGTGATAAAGGGATAGATAAGGAGAGCGATGATAGCAGATAGAGATAGAAATTGTGATAAACTGATAGATAGCTATAGATAGATAAGTAGATAAGTAGATACAGACAGCCAGACAGCCAGCCAGATAAGATGCAAGGGCATTTCACATGAGCCAAATTGGGGCTCCATTGGGGGGTCTCGGAGGGCCCCTTGCCCTACTAGCCCTTTGTAAATCAGAAGGCAATTCAAAGGATTGTTTCTTATCCTTTGAGCAGCTGATTGGGACTGAAAGTATCCAACCGACGTCTCCATCTCCCTTAAACGCCCCTTGGGGGGAACCTGGAATCATCCACAGAGATTTTAAACAACGGTCGTAAGTGTGAGAAACGGCCGTATGTCGCTCCCTTCCTTCCTCCCCTTACCACCATCCAGGGGGGCAGCCCCCTCTGTGCCCGTGGTCACTCCGAATGCTCAAGCAGACGAACGGTGGTAAGGGGGGGGCCTCCCAGTGGTCCTCAGGTTGCGACCTCGATGGAGGCTGCTCACGGCGGCCATACACCGGCTGATCCTACGTCCCCTTTCTTCCCCCCCCTGGAAGGGTCGGTTGTAAGTCGAGGACTCCGTGTGCAGGCGGTCATATGCATGGACCGATAGGGAGGCCTCCCAGCCCTGCCTACTCTGCAGGGGTGTCGNCACACACACACACACACACACATTTGTATGTGCACACCTGCACAAATACACACACCCCCTTGCACGCCGGCAACGCTCCCTGACCCTTTGCCAAATTGCATACAAAAAGCAAAGAACCAAATCACCAACTTTGCAAGGCTGCAACCATCCTCCTCATTAACTCTGATTAATGTGAGGCCCCGTCTGGGTCGGCTCATGAGTGGAGCCCCCCCCCCCCTTGAGCCCATTATGCCCCGCTGCCTTCACAGCCCCTCCCACCTCCACCCCCCCCCAAGCTCGGAGGGCGTAAAGCAGCTTTGGGGCACTGTCTGGCTGCCAGAACCTGCTGAGAAGGACGGATTTCATGGGCAACTGCTGAAGGGCCAAGGTGGGTGGCATTGTCAGATGCCCCCAGAGGGGACACCAAGGCCGACCAACTTTTGCATGCCCCCCCACCTCTCTGGCCCCCGTCCTGCAGCCCAGAGACACAGAGGCCCAAATCTAAGCTGGATTTCAGTTTCCGCCTCCTTGAAGGGACAACTGCTGCTTCTGCTGAGTTCCTTCGCTATCTCCCTCGCTCCTCTCCTGCAGTGTGGGAGAGCCTGGCAGCCGCGTCCACTTGCCCTCCTGGCTTATCGGGTTGGCCTTCAGCATCCCAGCAGCTCCCGGGCTCTGAAATGGGTGAAGGACGCCCATCTCTGCCAGCCTGGCCTGAAGGAAACGCGAGACCCAGATAAGGAGGAGAGGCTCCTGGGTGAAAGGGAGAGAAACTCCCCCCCCCCCCCCCACACACACGGGGATCTGCAGCTGGGAAGAGACCTCTGCTCTCTGCTGGGGAGGGGGAGGGGGCTGACTTTCACCCCTTTGCAAAAAAAGGAAGATTTTTTTTTTTAAAAGGGGGAAAAGGTGATTTTTTTAAAAAAGGCAGGTGAGCTGAAAGACCTTAAAAAATATATCAACCTTTAGGTGGCTATGAAAGTACTCTATCGCCACCTGGTGGTCAACCTTGGCAGGGGGGGAGAGAGAGAGACAGACCAGAGAGACAAAGTGCTAGATAGATCATATATATATTGTATCACAACCCCCGGTATGCCCAAATGCAGTATGTATGTATATATATATGTTTTTTATTTGTGCTGATAAATAAATCAGCACAAATAAAAAACAT